GTTTTCCACTACCACCACAAGTTGGAGGGGGGAGGGAGGAGGAGGAGGAGAAGGAGGAGGAGGAGGAGAAGGAGGAGGAGGAGGAGGAGGAGGAGGACCCCCTCCCCCTCCAACTTATGGGGGTGGTGGTGGAAAACAGGCCCATCATAGAAGGATGTAGGGCCGCCCCTGATCAAAATGGCGACGCCTTCTCGAAATGGAGGTTCCGCCCGATTGTCAGGCCCACTGGGCGCTGCGGTCTTGCAATGGGGGAGCCTCTTGCACCGAGCAGCACTGCCTGCGCGGGCCTGTGGGGCGGGGGCCCGCGGCGAGAGGGCGTGCTGCAGCATCGCGGTCGCATCGCGAGTACATTCTGGCCCTCCCCTCTCCCGCCTCTGCGCGGGCCTTGGCAGTGCCCTCGAGAAGACGTCGAAGGGCTGCCGGATCCTGGCTGCGCAGAAACCGCGCAGGGGAATCACGCGTACGCTCTGCACTGCACCCTCGCGGGCGCGCGAACGCAGACCCCCTCACGCGGATGTCCTGTCCTGTCCTGTCTCCTCTTGCGCGCTCCCGCGCGCGCGCGCGACCCTCGGGCACCCCTTCCAGGGTGAATCCTGGTCAGCCTGTCGAGGAGCGCTCAGCGGCGGCGACGGGGGCCTCCGGAGGCGCACCAGAACCGTCCAGGAGCAGCGTCCCGAGGAGGCCACCGACGCGGGCGCAGGCCGCGCGGAGGCGGCCCCTGGACCTCTCCGGGAGCGCGCCCCCCTGGCAAGCACGGTATAGGGTGGACTCCAGGCCGTGGCGACGAGAGCGCCCCGGGAGGTGCAGGCAGGGCCCGGCCACGCCCAGGCCTCGAGCCTCGACCCCGAGCCTCGGTCCCTCCCTTCTCGATGCAGGCCTTGTCAGAGAGCGCCGGAAGGGCCATCAAAACAGGGACGTCGAGGTGGTCCAACGCCTCGCCGGTGAAGCCGACGAAGACGTGCAAAGTCCAACCATTCGCCTGTGTCCAAAGTTTTGGCTTGACGCCTGGTGTGGTGCATCAGTTGCAGCTTGACCGAACAGGTTGGTTGAGCCCCTTGACGTCCGTGTGGAGTGTTCTGCAGACCTGACCCCCTAGCCCTACTCAAGACAGGCCCTCGCGGACGCCGAAACGACGACGCACACAGGGGATAGGCCGCCGTTGCCATCGTCGACATCCAACTCTACGTTCCCAGGCATCCGGCGCTCCAACGTCTCGAGGCCGCACCGGTCATCGGAGCGCCCACGGGGGCCCACGCCTTGAGCCGAGGCGTGGGCCCTCTGCAGCGCTCGAGTCCTTCGGCGTGGTGGCTTCTGTCGGCCCCTCGGGGCTGGCCCGGGGCTTCCGGGAGCCCAACCCTGGATCCCCTCGAGGGCCTCAAACCGAGACCCCCTCGGGCAATGAAAAGATCATGGCGGCAGGTTTTTCTGGTATTTTCGGCCCCGGGAGGCCCTTACCGGGCCTCGGGACCGTCAAAAAACGATTCAGGAAATTCAGGATGGAAAACTGGTTCCGGGGAATGGGCCCAGACCTCTGAGGGTCGACGTTATGAGCAAAATCATGACGTCGGGGGTCTGGGAACGGTGCGGTGACCACACCGCACGGTGGTGGATTCGGGTCCCAGGCGGTGCGGTGTGGGGATTCGCCGCACGGCTTTGGGATGCGGGTCGTTCTTCGAGGATGTCTGGGGTGGCTGCAGGCAAGGTCCCACAGCCGTGCGTTGACGGACCGCGCAGTGAGTTCTCTTGGGACGTCGAGGCCGCAGCACGGTCTGCCACCGCACCGTCTTGGGACCCCCCCCCCGAAGAGATCGGCGACCAACCGGCCGCCGCTATTTTTCGACGCCCGGGCTTGCGGGGAACTCTCGCACGATGCCGCTCCACGTCCATGGCCAGAACGCTTCAGCAGCAGCCGGCCGCCCCGGCAACTCCTGCCGATGATGATCGCGCTGTTCACGAGTGTACCCCGTCCTTCCGCTCCCCGCGGCCGCCTTCTGCCTTCCTGTCCTTCTCGCGCAGCCGGGCC